AATAAGCTTTACATTGATGTATGGTTTGTTAGGATATAACAATATTTGGCCGAGACACAACTATTTGAAAATCTGGAATCTGAGGGTGCAAAAAAAGTCAAAATATTGAGAAAATCGCCTTTAAAGTTGTCCAAATGAAGTTCTTAGCAATGCATATTACTAATCAAAAATTAAGTTTGAATATATTTACAGTAGGAAATTGACAAAATATCTTAATGGAACATGATATTTACTTAATGTCTTGATAATTTAAGAAAAATCAATAATTTAGACCCATACAATGTATTTTTGGCTATTGCTACAAATATACCCAAGCGACTTAAGACTGTTTTGTGGTCCAGGGTCACATATAGTCACCTTTTTGGATTCGTAGTCATAGGAGCTCAATGAGAACACAGAGCTCAAGGAAGGCAAACATAGACACCCCCTCCTCCTGAAACTTTGCTGGTGTTGCTCTTGAACAGTATTACTGAAAAAAATGAAACAATTATTAGATAATTAAAAAATATAAATTGTGTTTAATTTATTTTTGTCCTGTTGGTTTTATTTTCCCTTTTTTAAACCACAGTCTCCCTTTGCCTCCTCTGGGAAAATTCACCTGCTGTTTATACAGAAGGATAGTCTTTGGTGAGCCATGGCCTGTCACTGACAGTTTTTGAAAATACTGATGTGTTGCACCTTGACTCAAAAGCCATCCAAAGCCAGAGCCGTTACAATGAACCAAGCGGCAAATCAAAACCATCTGGGCCTGTTGTGTCAACAGCTGTGGGTCTGAAGCTGTGGCACGTACTCAGAACACTTGTCATTTCCCAGCCTGCAGACCGGCAACAGTCTGCATAATATATTATTACAGTGGATTTTTCTTCTTGTGCCATTATTTGAACATGCACATACTTAATGGTTTAGCATAGAAATAGTGAGAACATTATCAAGCAATATAATTGATATAATAAGGATATTTTGATCAATTTAACCCTCTGGTGCTCCTCACATGACGGTCAAAATGACCCTTTTTATTTCAATGAAATGAATGTACTATATTTTAGATTGATGTTTTTCTTGAATGCTTTGAAGCACAGATTTGGTCTCTTTTTAAAGGATACACTTGGTAGATTGTTGAAGTGAAAAAAAGTGAAATTTAAAAAAAGTTATAGAAGTTTATGAAATGCATAAACTTACTATTTTCAAATGCATAAACATACTATTTTCAAATTTTATGGGAAATATATTTTTCAAAACATGATTTAGCCTAAAACTGTGAGGAAAAATCAAAGCCATAAATTTAAACAAGTTGTGTTCCAAATTTGAAGTTGACATTTCAAAATAATTAGGTTTCAGTAAGATTTTGTTTGGATGTAGTACCAAACGTTTTCACTAGATGAAATTTGTTTCCCATTCATTTCCAAAGCTGTTAATTTTTGACCGTGAGGAGTGTGACTATATTTTTTAGGACCACTTAACCTTTTCGATTTATGTCCATGATTTTGTGAGTATGTGTGTGTGTTCACATAGCAAGTGCCAAAACCTTTATAAAGTTTCATACCATTCTGATGAAGCAAAAAATTCTAAAAACAAAACTCAAACGTAAATATTTTCAATCAAAAAATGATGAAAGAGCACCAGAGGGTTAAATTTAATTTCATGCAGTATTGATGTTACCATTGGTACACTCTTAAATATAAAGGTTCTAAAAGGGAACCTGCAGTGTTTCCATAGAACTATTTTGGGTTCCACAAAGAACATTTTAGTGGACAGCTCTTATGTTCTAAAGAACCTTTTGTGCAATAGAAAGGTTCCATGGTTCCTAACAGTTCTTTATGGAACCACAGATGCCAATAAAGAACCTTTTTTAAGAGTGTAAGTCATTGCATATACTTATCAAATCATCATATTCTCTAGATTTCATCTCCAAATCACACCATATCTAGAGGAATTAAGCTTCTCCAAAGTGAAAGGACTTTGTAGTTGTTTTAACCCTGAAGGAATCCATTTAAAAGTGCTGCTAAGACTCTTTTATTTGCAGTAATTATATCAGAGTGTTCATGACAACCCAACCCAACCCAAGTCTGAAGGGTTGTGAGGTGCATGAGCTAATGTATAGCCTGCATGCGGATATGTGTTTCTACTTTATTTCCTTGCCCTTGGGAAAAACAGCCAAATGAAAACATCCAATCAATTTCAGTTCAGGCTGTTTTGACATTTTAAGTACACACATGCACTCTTTGTGTAATGATGTCAGTCTATGGAGGCTGAAACAATTTCCCCAGTGAGATTTAGATGCTCCATTCTTAAGCTTAACAAACAGGAACCAGTCGTTAGACTTTTTGCTATAAATATTCATGAAGGTGACCCTTCATGACCCTTCAAAGGACAACATGTTATAGTCTTCCATCTGGAGGGACAGGAGTGGCTATTGGC